ACTTATCCGGCTAGGGAATTTGCTATTCAGTACCGAAAGAACTCGGACAAAGTTAAGGAGAATATTAGTAAGGCACAACACCAAATGGTGGAACAGGCAAACAAGCATTCCGGGTGTATAGCTTAGTTGGTAGAGCATTGGACTTTTAACCTAATGGTCGCAGGTTCAAATCCTGATATACCCACAAGGCCACGAAGTGGGGTAGACATGCTCATACTCCTTCCAAGCAAGTAACGTGTATACATATTCCAAAAAGAAACGGCTATGGAAAAATTGGTTTACGCACCACACTTACGATGTGGGCGCTTCGCGCCTTGTGAGTTCAAGTCCCGCTCCGTCGTTCGAGACGCCCAAATTGACGAACTCCAGATGGGGACCACCGTCTATCGTGAAAAGGGGTCACTGGGAAGGAACAACCCTTGGTCCACCCAAACATGTCTACGAGACGCAATTGAACGGGTTTGTGAACGTGAGGTGCGGGACCTTCATGATTCGCTGTAGGGGATTTAGTTTGGGTGAAGTCAAAAGAATTTATCCCTGAGGAGATTTATGTCCCAGAAGTCGAAAGAATTTCTCCCTGAGGAGATTATTTTCCATAAGTTGTTGCCTGCTCGTAGAGGGCCGTCACAAATTTGATGTGATTGGTAATGTGGATCGTCGTTCCTATGTTGTTGAGATTCCTCCGCATTTGCACACTTTTCGCTAGGGAATTTGCTATTCAGTAGCGAAAGGACTTGGACAAAGTTAAGGAGAATATTATTAAGGCACAACACCAAATGGTGGAACAGGCAAACAAGCATTCTAGGTGTATAACTTAGTTGGTAGAGCATTGGGCTGTTAACCAAATGGTCGCAAGTTCAAATCCTGATATACCCACAAGGCCACGAAGTGGGGTAGACATGCTCATACTCCTTCCAGGCAACTAACGTGTATACATATTCCAAAAAGAAGCGGCTATGGCAAAATTGGTTTACTCACCACACTTACAATGTGGCGGCGCTTCGCGCCTTGTGAGTTTGAGTCCCGCTGCGTCGTTGGAGACACCCAAATTGACGAACTCAAGATGGGGACCACCGCCTATCGTGAAAGGGGGTCAATGGGAAGAAACAACCCTTGGTCAACCCCCAACCTTGTCTACGAGACGCAATTGGACGGGTTCGTGAACGTGAGGTGCGAGACCTTCATGATTCGCTGTAGGGGATTTGGTTTGGGTGATGTCCATCGGGTTTCAGGTTTTCTATTTCACTCCCTTTCTTAGKGTTCTTTTCACCTTTCCCTCACGGTACTTGTACACTATCGGTCACTGAGAAATACTTAGGCTTAGAGGGTGGTCCCCCACAGAATTCAAACACGGCGCGCGTTTTACTTCTTGAAATGAAAACCATTGGACAAAATATACAGGGCTATCACCTTGACAAATTCGTCTCTTCGACCCTCAACAAAGCCAAATTCGACACGGAAACTCCCCGTCGAAGACTCAGCGGCGAGGCGATCGTAAGAGCTTCCGCTCTTCAAACGACAAAAACCGGCAACCGGCGAACCCTATGGAAGAATTTATCCTGAGGAGATTTGTCCCAGAAGTCGAAAGAATTTCTCCCTGAGGAGATTATTTCCCATAAGTTGTTGCCTGCTCATAGAGGGCCGTGACAAATTTGATGTGATTGGTAATGTGGATGGTCGTTCCTATGTTGTTGAGACATTTGCACACTTTGATGTGATTGGTAATGTGGATGGTCGTTCCTATGTTGTTGAGACATTTGCACACTTATCCGGTGTTTCACTCCTCAAGTTACTTCCTTGTGTTAGTAACGACATGTTTCCATCACGCAGATCTATACTTCCCCCTGATATGGATGGTAAGTATGATGTGGATAGGATTGTTGGGGAAGATGTTTACAGATCTGGGCACAGGGGTAGACCATAGCGACAATAGGTTAGATTTGCGTATCACGAACCTTCAAAAGATCACTGGTTTACAAGGGACAAACAAATTGAAACAGCACTGCATATTGCGTCCGACTACGAGAGGGACGAACTAATTGAGACAGCACCGCATATTGTGTCCTACTACAAGAGGGCTGAGAGAGGAATTCCGGACGACCTCACAATTAGGCTGGCGAGAGTGAAAGGCCTTCCACGATTCAGACCCCAAATTCGGTTTCCAGGGTCAAGGTCTTAGGCCAAGACGGTCAGTTTCAGAGAAGTCACAGTCGGGTACCTTAGGAGTCAAGTCCAACAGGCACCCGGTGAGCAGTCCCGTCCCAGCGGCGAAGGTTGCATTCTTGAAGCAAAAGTCACGTCTCATAATGAAAAGTCATATTGAAAAGTCATATTGAAAAGTCACCTCCCACGGGCAAAGGACACTTCCCCAGGCAAAGTTGTGTCCCAGAGGCAGGAGTCACAACCCACAGTCAAAAGTCAAGTTCCAGAAGTGAAAAGTCGTGACTCACAGGCCCGAGCAGCCGTGGAGATGTGGTATCAGTGCCAAGTCAAGCCACAAGAAGCAGACGCTGGGATGCGTTGAATCCAAGTCCAAGACAATATAAGGACAGGCCAGCCTCCTCATTCGGGCAGATAGGATTTTGCATGAAGTGTGTAAGTGCTGGTGCACTTGTGCAGTATTGTGAGGAGCGAAGCAGCCATAGCATAGCTGGCCCTAGCGCTGGCAGAGGGAAAGCAGCCATAGCTGCACCAGTGCTTTGAGTGGTAGAGACTGTGCATGCAGGAAGGGAAAGAAGACACAGTGAGGACATAGGCAAAGAGAAGGCCAGAAGAGAGGAAGAAAGGGATAGAAGCAGTGAGAGTGGTCACTTACCTGTGTGATGATGATACTGGATACTGGTTACTTGGCATTGCGCTGATGATGAGCGCTCGTGACCGAAACTCTTAATTGCTCATGTGTTCATTAGTCTGAATTTCTTAAGCTGCGTTTTTTATCTTCGACTCTCTACTACAGTGTGATTTCGTGCGATCTCATTTGTTGCTCTGTACTACAGTGTGATTTCGTGCGATCTCATTTGTTGCATGTACGCATGTTTGTGCACTCATTGGTGATGAACTGAGAGGTTCATTGCAAATTTGCAACTCCGGCCCTATCTCGTTCGAACTTGCACTGTGGTGCATCCTCGGGCACTGTAGATACATCAAACATAGAGCGAACATACCCATTCATTGCAAATTTGCAACTCCGGCCCTATCTCGTTCGAACTTGCACTGTGGTGCATCCTCGGGCACTGTAGATACATCAAACATAGAGCGAACATACCCATCAAGAGATTGATTGCAGCACTGACAGTTACCATTCTTCCGTCTACTTCCCATAATGCGGACGAAGAAATAGCCAAGATCATCAAACGAATGAATAAAAAAAACTAACCCAAAGCTGCGAAACATCAATCTACGGACGCCACAGATTGTAAAGGGTGGAGACTCCTGATGAGTTGTCGGTGCAAGTTCAACAAAACAATCCTTCATCACCTGTTTCAGTTTTAATGCCTCTCGTCTTCCACTCCTTTGATTTGTTACTTTTTGGCTCGACTGTAGGCTTGCGAGTGCCTCTACGACTATCAGTGGGGGCGCTGTTCCAACATCTGCGTCCGAGTGACTTCCTGGCTCAGCCAGTAGTGGGTAGTGTGATGAGGTGATGGATTGCTTGTTTTTTTGTTGCACGTATTGTGTCGTTCCCGCAGCGTGCCTGTGTGCCGTGTAGTTCGGTTGCCTTGTCAGTATTGCACTTTGCTCCCGTGTACGTGCCTTCCATTTCGGCACGCTAGTTAGCCTGGCAGCAGGGTTGGGGGACTAAAATGCCGATCCTTACGCTATCTGGCCCTCCTCCCCATGTGTGAGCGTAATATCATGGCGGAAGCACACCCCCAGTGTATGGGGACCAAAGCCCACTTCTTGCCCTATGCGCCCCCCCCTACGCAAGTGCATAATCATGATCATGGCGGGGGSCCAYGCAATGTGCTTATGTTCGTAGTCTTTGTGCATAATTGACGCTTGCTGAGCTGTTGCCTGGCTTCGCATACACCTGGGTGCTAAATAGCCTTAACGCTTTGCTGAGCTGTTACCTGGCTGCACGYAAGCGAGCCTTGCCTCTCCTTTCCATCTCATWCCTGTCCGCCTTGCAGTTTGGCTGCTTTGTCAGAGCAGCACTGCCTTGTGCCTTGCTGTGTCACTGCTTTGCTGCTCGTGCTGCGGTATAGCCAACTTTCAGTGTCCAAGAGACACATATGGTTGTAGCTTTTTTGCAAGGATGCCACCACGCGATCGCAGAGGGCTCTTTCCCCTCCAACACTACATACATGCATAACATTGCATGGTCCATAGAGACACATATGGTTAGCTTCTGTCTTCTATATTTTAACGTTTTTTGACTGGTAGGGGAAGGGAGATTTTGCTTCAAGTACTGGTGATTCTACAGTTGGGTACATATGGTTGTAGCCTGGTATTTAAACCACCAGTACACCCGAGCCTGGCGGACTCGCACTGCGCACAAGGTTTGCTGAACCGCCAGTAGAGCACGAGTGTCCAAATAAAAAATCCTCTCGCACATGCACACACGCACACAAGGGAAGTGGAATCATTTGTGCTGCTGCATGCACGCAATCAAGCCCATTTCTATGCTTATTTGAAGGGCCTGCTTGTTTCTGTTAACCCCCCCAGCACTTGGCCCAGTATTCGGCTGCAGGGTGGAGAGTTCTGGTAGCTCACACACCTTGTACATTCACATGTGCACTGATGGGATGGTTCTGCGGCGGTGCACATGACCTATTTCTTAGTCACGATCACCTGGAGGATAATTCAAAACTGTCACTCCCCCTATCTCGAAGTCACGCAGGGAGAAGGTATCTCCCTATCCCGAAGTCACACAGGGAGAAGGTATCTCCCTATCCCGAAGTCCACTACGACAAAAAAAGCCCAAAAAACTATATCCACTTAATTTCAGTGAACCAAACACCCTGCAGAAAATAGGGAAAGAAGTTTAAAAGACAGAAATTCCACCAAAAGCCACTTCATTTCAGCATCGCAGTTTCCATCTCTATGCTCTGCTGTAATATAAGCACTTCACAAATCCAAACACAGGCAAACCGTTGACTGACTTCATGCTTCGACAACTCTCTCTCTCTCTCTCTCTCTCTCTCTCCAAAGAATGCTGTGTGGTTAAGTGGACATGCATTTGTAGAGACGCACACCCCCACCCATTTATGCAAGGCCCTGAAAGATACTAAATGAAATAGTTGAGAATACATTTTGCAGCAAGAGCACCACTCGCCCTCAAATTGGCCGCTTACTTACTTCTAATGATAAGAGAATGCCACGAGACTCTCTCGAGGGCCCTTCAGTTAAACCACGCACACCTAACAGAACATGCCCATTTTCAAACTGTTGATGAAGGACTGCCTGTTATAAGGGAACATAAGAAATGATACCCACCGCCAACAAAACATCTTCAATCTGATCACCACCACGTACCTGATTCAACAAACACACGACGTCACAAAATATCGACCTACGTATTCACTTCCTACCCATCCCTCCTATACACTTGAGACATTGAAACACGACCGCTACAAAACCCATAACCCATACATCCATACAACCCATCGGCCATCTATATATTCCTGGAGCTGTTCACAAGGGCTGAAATGGAACTAGAGAAATTTTTGCAGCATCAACTCAGAAGAATCACCTCCCTTCTCATAGTGCACAGGGTCATGTCAATAAACTGACTAGTACCAGCCAAGGGCTCACCCTCGTTTACGATGTCTTAGGCTCAGGCACCTGACAAATGAAATTGGCTCAGGCGCCTGACAAATGAGATTTACCACCATCTATACGGCATCTGACTATCTAGAACAGTTCACACTGTCGCTTCTATGCATATGTCTTCAGCAGGATGCGGCAGATAAAAAAAAAAACAAAAAAAAATGATGTTCATTCAGTGTAGCTGAATGACAATTCAATGTGCATGGCGGGATGGAATCATTTGTGAACGCTCATGCATCAATCCATGAGAGCCCTACAATTGACGACATATGTGAAGTCGGTGAAATAAATGCTGGAAAACAAATCAATTCCGGTGATATACATAGCAGCATTCCGCAATACGTCCAACGAAGAAGAAAACCAGACAAACATACGGCACGCACACAATGCTTGTAGTGATCATGAACCTTGCCAGGCACGTAAGGCAGGCGTTTCGGCAAAAAATAAAGAGTTGAGATCCAATCAACGACCGGGCTTGTGGGCCGGAAACAGCCGTGGAGGTGGCAGGCTGGGAAACTTACTTTTAACGAGTCCAAACACGCCGACTGTGTAGGGACTGCCGACTGGCACACAGGGAAGGAATCCTCATCCAGGAGCGCAGCTGTCACCCACAAAAAATAAAGAGTTGAGATCCAATCAACGACCGGGCTTGCGGGCCGGAAACAGCCGTGGAGGTGTAGGGACTGCCGACTGGCACACAGGGAAGGAATCGTCATCCAGGCGCGCAGCTGTCACCCACAAATCGGCAACAGACGGGTAAGGCATTGACCTGTCTCTTATACACATCTAGATGTGTATAAGAGACAGGCATTAGTACAAACTAACCCTGAGACAGCAGGGCGTACTGCCGAGGAGGAGAGCCAAGGTCGCGGTCAAAGAACCTGCGCACAACTTACGCGTCTACATAAAGAACCTCAGCAAGACACAAATTATTGGTGGATAGAGCACAACACAGGACAGGGGAAGTGGGAAAACTATCGATTGTCGGAGTCAGGATGGGGTTCTCCCCTGCAAGACAAAAACTAGAAAATGAAAAGACGAGTGGTCGCCGCAGTAGATGGCGGAATCAATATCCTCCCGCTTCCTCATTAAAGACTCGAGAGTTCCTCTCGAAAATCACACCTCCCAAAGTCCTGAAGCTCGTACGTTCACCTGCTGCAGTGCAACGCAAGGTCGCTCGTGTTTGCTCCGAAAACAACTCTTGCGTAACTGTGCTCCTACCTACCCATCTGGAGCCATATCCTCATTTTATTGCTGGGAAGATCTAAGCCTTCCATCTATTGCAGGTACCAGCGCTTTGTCCACCTTCCATAAACTTTTCTCCCTGAAGCTAAGGGCAAATCGACAACATAGTATCAACAATGCATTAGCCGCGATGAAGCGATCCGTTAGAGCCACCCATCCACTTCAAAATAGTCTTCTTCAAGAGTCCGAAAACACACGTGAGCGCCTTCTGATCTGTGAAGACTGTCAGTCACAAGGCATGGTCCCATATGTCAGGGTATACTTGCAGTACAACCTTCTTCGACGCGTCCGAGACATCAATCACAGATACAGCCAGGATTAATTGCACTCAGATACATACAGGAAAGTCCTGGCGCCTGTATCTTCTCAATTGCAGTTCAAACCCTCCCTTGAACCTGCTACCCAGTGACTGATCATTAAATGCGCTATCCTTCCCTTTGTCTGCTGCTCATGCAAGTTCAATCACCGTATAGACGAAGAGAGCAGCTGGGAGAGGATGAGTACCTGAGCTGAGCCTCCCGAAATGGTAGATTGCCAGACAATATGCCATAAGCCATCACTGCAATCATCATTGCCCGGGTCAGGGCATGCCACTTGGACTGTGTATGCCCGTCCCTAGAATTCCCGTCTGCCTGAGCAGCTTTGCGCCCCCTTTGACATCGTCCCAAAACTTTCCCTTGGAACTGAGTCAACCATCAGAAAAGGGTCATTGCCCGAAATCCTGGCAGAGCCATCACACATCGCGATCATCATCATCGTCACCCCAATCATCATCTCGCCAGGATTGGTGCACGCCACTTGGACGGTATCTCCCTCGCCTTGCATACGTGTCCGGCTGAGCAGCATCGGGCCCGCTTTGACATCGTCCAAAACTTTCCCACGGGTCGTTATACCCAGAACCTCCTCGGTTTCTTCCCCCTTTCGCCCTTGAAAACCCTCCATGCTGGCTGTGATGACTGCTTGGGTGATGTCGGTAGTTTGTGGCGGCGCTCACAGTCTCTGCATGTCTACCACGAAGCTTTCTCAACTCCTCCTCGGAATCATACCGAGCTCTCTGCATTGTTGGATGCATGCAGCAGCACACACCATTGCCCCATTCGCCGATGGACAAGAAGGCAAACACAAACCAAAGATAAATTTGACGTTAGATAGTTTCCAGTACGCACATAGACCTAACACCACAAACTACTAACACAAACTCCGAATTTCAGATTCAATTCAATAACATTCAATAATAAATTTGACTATAAGAATAAAGTTCAATAAACTGTACAAAAGCAGACTTGGCATGACAAACCTTCCAGCAAACCTAAAAGAGCAATCAGCTCCAGACCTCACAGCGGAGATGCAAGTCCTGGCGCACAGAGAAGGGTTCAGCTGTAGGGGATTTGGTCATAGGGTTCAGCGCTTCGATCCAGAATGTTGCCTGGCAGGGTCTTCGCAACCAGTGAAGACCCTGGAGATGTGGACGGGGGCATCGGATTCACAACTCCACGCAACAGTGAATAGACTTCCCAAACCTGCCCTGAACTGCCATCATGCATAAGACACTCAAAACCATGAGCGTGTTGGGGCATTAAGCGTCCTGAAAGAGGTGGAAGCACTGGCCCTGTTGCTCAAACTACCATCCCATGTAATTGGTCTGCAAAGAATAATACGAACCACAGTACTTGCACTCTCCTCTCTCTCTCTCTCTCTCCCCGCCCCTCTCTCTCCGCCCCCCCGCCCGCCCCCCCAACACACACACACACACACACACAGAGGTCCTGGTGAGTCCGTGAAAGTCAGACGAAACAGTCTGGCACAATCTCTGTATTTGGGGGAACATGACAACACACAATCAGTTTTATGTGTTCTTTTTCGTCCCCTCCCCAAAAGGGCCAAGCTGTACTATGCCCGGTTGTATGCAATGCCCTGCCGGACAATTAGGGGTGCCACACTGTTCGTGATATCTGTGACGCAAGCGGTCTATGGGTGATGGTAGATGTCTTTCGCCTGGCTTCGTGTTGCGAGTAGGTAGTCGATGCCTTTGCTCAATGTTGTGGGTGTGGACTGTCTTTTCTGTGCACTCTGCTGCCTTACTGCCCATGCTGTTATTTGAAGCTGGTGTGTTGCTACGTAGTTTGGCTGCACTGTTGGCTTTGCCTTGTGCTTTGCTGCGCTGTTGCCTTGCTGCCCATCCCCCTGCCTTGTCTTGCCGTGCACTTTGCTTGTGCGCGGTTGTTTGGCTGCATTGGCAGCCTTGCCTTGTGCTTTGCTGGGTTGTTGCCTTGCTGCCCACCCACTTGTCATTGTGCAGTTGGGTTGCTCCAGCAGCGTTGCCTACTGCTATGTTCTGCTTCGTGTTGCCTGCTGGCAGTCTGCTTTCAACAAGGGTTGAATGGCTCCTGACTCTAGCATCGATATGGGGATTTCGCAGATTGTTGAGGGTTCAGCCTCCTGATGAGACGGTGCAAGTCCAATGAAGCTATCCTTCATCATCAGCTTTTATTTTTCAAGCTCTTTGTTCTTCTTTATTGGTTGGAGCTTGCACTTCTCTTGTCTGCCTCCTTTTTGCCTTGCTGTTCTGCTTTTGGCTCACTCCCGGTTCTTGGCTGCCTTGGGCTGTTTGTCTGCCCACCTGCCTCCCCCGTGCCCTCCAGCCTATGTTCCTTGATGCTGCATCTTGCCTATTGCCTTGTTGCCTCACGCCCTGCCTTCCTTTACCACCCTTCGTATTCTGTTCTGTCCGCTTAAGAGCTACGTGAGACCCATCTTTAAGTCTGAAAGGGTTTCACCCAGTTTGCGCGACAATTGCGGATACCAGGACTCTATCCCCAGACCTCCCCTAGCCTACTGTACAGTTGTCCATTGACCGTGTTTGTTTTGAACACGCGACCTGTTCCCAAAACCTGTCCCCTATCTTGTGTGTGTGAGTTTAATCGTGTGGGTTTCATCCGTAAGTCGTAGGGTTGTCTGTAGGTGGCCATACGTCCTCTGAAAGGTCAATAGGTCGTGGCTAGAGTAGCTCCTGAAGAGTCGACTTGACCTTTCGAAGTCAGTAGAGGTCAAGAGTCCCAAGTCGCCCCCGAACGGGCACATGAAAATGCAGTCCCAGTCCAGTCCGTTTGCAGCAAGTACCAGAGTAGGGACTGCACATCTCGAAGGCCTGGGACATTGATGGGCACAGACCACCCTCCCCATCAGTCCAGTCCGTTTGCAGCAAGTACCAGAATGGGGACTGCACATCTCGAAAGCCTGGGACTTGACGGGCCCAGACCACCCTCCCCATCTCAAAGGCCTGGGACATTGACAGGCCCAGACCACCAAACGAAACCATATAAATAAAGAGGGAGTGATCAGTCACTCACTCATTATCTGGGGAACTATGTGGAAGCGCTGCTAGAGTGACTTGTGTGTCGAGTTCACCGGTGGTCAGGAAGAAGCCCGAAGGTGGAAGAGGGTGAGCGGCCATAGCCACTAGGAGGAAGATGACAGCGGCCATAGCCGCCTATGTATAGAAGTTGGGGGATAGTGTGTGAAGTGTGGGTGCAGACATTCAGGGTAGATCCAAGTGTTGTGTGCGTACGTGAGTGTGAGTGTCTGACGGTGGTTACAGTGTTCGGATGGGAATTCCAGCCTGGCGCTCAGACGCCATAGCCATGAGATGTGACACGTTGTTTTGAGCTGAGTTCCTGGCCGAAGGCCATATCCCTGAGGTTTTTGTGTGGGTGCACTGTGCCATCTCAAGTCTGTTGCTGATTCTGCGTCTTTCAAAGTTTTGAGTTGCCATCGCAAGTTGCATGCATGCATGCTGAACGCAGAGTGGAGAAGTCTGATTGCAAGTCTTTGCGCACAGCACTTATTGGAGTGCAGTTATGCTGCACTGAGGTAGTGAATTACAAGCGTTCACAATTTCACACACACACACAC